CCTTGGTTTGTTCAGGATCAGCTGACGTCAGTTACATCAGGCTCATGATGGGAGGAAGCCTGTTTGCAAAGACAAAGTATGGGCAGTTTTGCAACCGTGCTGTTCTCTCCTTGGCTGACTTCCTTGCATAAGACGCCCTTCAATTTTTAGTGTAACAATTTTAGAAAAAAGTATCATCTTATAGATGGAAAAATACAGTATGTTTGTGCTCAGGTTAGGCAATTAAAATCCACTGTACTAAACATGCTCCTTTTTTCCCATCGGCTGTACCAGTGGGATTGAGGGACATGCTATCTCTTATTCTAAATGTATTGGGTGCAGCTGTGCCTCACTTTCTTCTTTAATGCATGAGAAGCAACCGTTTATATCTTCTTGTTCCAGCAAGGATTAGGATGAACATTGTCTTTTCCCCACATTGGTATCAAGGGGAACTTTTTAGAAGTCTCATAACCATTGGGTGTATACTCCTCCTGAACACAACTTGGGTAGGAAGAGAAAAAGCTCTTACTGCACATAAGAATTCCAAGAGGATCCCCTTTCCTTTCCGCATTCAGTATATCTTGGCTCAAAGAGCATTACCGTTTATGCTTATTCAAAGGTAAACTCCATTGAATTCAACTGGACTTCATATGGAATGTGAGTATTTATTGTAGCCTTTGCTAATGCATTCAAATATTGTAGTTCTAAAGACAAAGGCTAGAGAGGGCTTTGCTTTTGAAGAAAGACATTTTGAAATCTTCTGTAAGAGTCTATAACTTTGGATGGATCCTATTCATTTTATTCCGCAATGAATGTTCCCCCTATTGGCATTATTTCTTCCAGAATAAATAAGACATTGGATTTTATATCATTATTATTGTTATTGACATTTTCCATTTCCACCCAAAAAAGAATTCTTAAAGTGGCTGACACAAAGGAATGAAATATATAAGACAAATTAAAAATGTAACTAAAGTAAAACATAAATCATAAAATATTAGTGGAAGTTGAAATGTGGGCTGCATTATTTCTTCATCAAGGCACTTAAAGCTGCAACATATTTCATTTTGCCAATTTCTTTTATCTCTTTTTCCTGGATTTTTTTTTCACCATGTAATTCTATTTCCCTTGGAATCAATAGGAAGGAAACCATTATACCTGCTTGAGAGCTAGTCAATGTGATTGCTCTTTGGGGGCCACAGCAAAGAATATGGAATATGATTGACAGTCTTTTGCTTTCAAAGTTATTCCCATTCCACTCCCTGTCCAGCCCTCCTCATATCAGTTTTTAAGCTAATACTGGGAATTTCTGAGGCCACAAAAAGCCACTCATCTAGGCTGTGGGGAGGGGAACAGGGAGAGATATTGGCTTTACATCTTTGATTACAGAAGAGTGAATCTGTTCAGTTTTTATTTTAAGTTGTTTTGTTCTTTCTATCCTTTTACTTTGTACTACAGCTTATGTTTAGTCTGTGCCAGTTTGTCATGTGTTCATTAATAAATCATTTGCATCTTATTTTCTCATTAATGTATGAGTTCCCTTAAAAAAAACCTAGACAAATATACATACGTTAATGTATTTTTCATTAAAAATGGAAGAAGAGATTTCAAAACATATTTTAGCTGGTGTGCATTATTATTTGCAGGTTGAAACTTTTAAAAAGTGAACTGAATCATGAAATCCAGAACAACCCAATTTTTTTTTTAAAGGTATTTCACCCATTTTGCATTCTGATCTGTAAGATAACAAGGTCAATTCTTATCACATTTTAGAAAGATTGAATTCCTCAAGTACCCCTTTTGCAAACCTGGAAATATCTATATTCCTTTGTAAAGAAATTATAATTGTAAAAGGCAATTATTTGTGATACAATAAAGGGAAACGATTTTACTAATCTTTACTAGTTGCATGTTTTTAGCATCCTTTAAAACAAATTCAGGAAGGATGTATTCAGGCTGTGATAGAGCCCTGTATGCATCTTCAAGGAAATTACCATGCCAGTTTCAAATAAAGCTGATAACAGCATATAAAATATTGATGTATTAATATTTCAAAAGATAGCAAAGAAAATGAATCTATAAGGGTTCATCTATAAAATATTTGGAGAAAATGATTGAAGACAACCATTTTGGAAAGCAATCATTTTATTCTTTCTTATCCTACATATTTTTGAAAAGCTGCTGCATTTATTTCCAATAAATAATATATACATAGGTTACATGGATTACTTTCACTATGTGCAATTCATAACATTGGGGGGGGAAACTATGACTTCTTAGGGTTCCAATTTTGTCTAAATGGGAAGAAACTTGTCTGCCCCTAAAATCATTCCTGGAGTGTATGAATGATTGAGTTCATTCCAGAAGCACACTTATCCCAAAAGTCTGCTCATTCGAGGAAACCCCAAGGGCTCAATTAAACTAAACCACTTTGTTAAGCTGAACTCCAAGATGATGTACCATCTGAGACCAAGGGCAAAATGCCACCATGTATTTACACATACAGAATAACCAAATTAGCCATTATGTTTTATTCAATTTTGACAATGGAGCAATGCTCTTCACTGCATTGAGAACAATAAGCTATCTTACAGGGTTAAGAGCAAACCATACAGCTCACACAATCCTGATAGCCAACAGGTCACCATCATTCATTCACTTCTGAATCTGCCGTTCAGAATCTGATCTGTACTTCGGAGCCCATATAGAGCTCTGATTCAGAAGCTGAAGCTCACTTTGATTGATTGATTGATTATGTGCCATCAAGTCATTTTTGACTCCTAGCAACCACATAGATAGCTCACTTTGGGGTGCTCAAAAATATAAGATGGGAATCAGGCTTTGGCTATTGCATAATTTCTGGATTTTTTCTTGAGTGTGTGGCAGGATTCAACTCTTACTTCAGAATGTTACAATTTAATGAATTATATAAAAAACCAAAATCTGAACTCTATGAGCAGATCCTTCTCATTATATGAGGAAAATGTTGACAGCTGCTCCACAAAAATTCAACAAAATCTTCTAATATTTCACTAGGGCATGCTTCTGTAGCTTGAAAGTTCTTCTAGACTTGTTAT